AAATTGCTTGTAGTTAATTTTCTAAAGAAACACATCTTTCTGGTACAATGCTGACGATTTGGAAAGTTAATGTACTTCCTACTCACTTTACACTCACATTGATTAAGAAAATAAAATAAGTAGAGCAAATGTTACTTAATATATTATTATTCTTTTTGTTTTTCACAAGTAATCTCATGGGTAGTCGATGTGGTCTACTTGCCATTGAACAAAATAAACATGCACTGCTTTCGTCAGTCCGACCAACCATGGACAGCTGTTTCGAGTAGACCACATCTACTATACAGGTAGAATCCCTAGATCTATACAGTCCAACTGGTAGGATACGATTCACTGTTTGCAGTGGTCGATTATATATGGCGCTTCGAGCTGCCTTATTTCGATAGATCTCACAATTTTCACAGTTTATAGTTACTATGTTTTCATTCGTTGTCCGAGAGACCCACTATGCTGAGGAGTAGCCAGAAAGCACGAAACAGCTGTCAGTGGTTCGCTGTCTGATGGGATGGACGGAAGCAGAGCATGTTTATTCTGTTTAATGGCAACTCGATCTTATATGTACTACACAGGTAGAAAATCGTCGCCATCTAGCGGTTACGTGGCTCCAGAAATCTATAGTCCCAGCCGGTGGACTGCGATTCAGCGTTCGTGGTGCTTTATTCTACCGGTAGTCTTATTTCGATTAATCTTGATTTATTTCAATATCTATTTTTATAGACTCTAAACAAAAAATGCCTTCCTCGCCATTTTCCTCGCTTAAGATGATACATACATATTTTCAAATCTACAGCGACGCTCGTCTCTTGTACTAGTTACCATTACCTTTATTTTTGTTTTAGTAATGGTGATCGGGGGCGAAGCCAGGCAAGTAGGCCAACTTTAGCCCTTTTTACCGATTACGAGTGTACCAACACTAACTCCACACATTTGAGTTTGTCACTAATTTGTCGAACCTTCCTGATCTCCTAATAAGGAGGGTGTTCGACCATTCCGCTGATTAAGTAACAATATACGGGCCAATAGTCCAGAAAGTGGACCTCTGTTTCGTCCTCCTTCCAGTACATGGGGCAACTTGGATATCTCTTCACTTAAAAGGGATAAGTGGGCAGTGGCCGGTGAGAACCCCCACCAAAGGGTTGAGTGATTGTCTATCCCTGTCCAGTACCCAACGCGTCCGACGTTTCTCGGGATCGGGTACGAACCTCTTGGGCACGGTTTTCCGGGTCTCTATACATCCATTCATTCATAGCGGTGTTGACCTGGCTCCTGTTTGTCCAAAGCCTAGGCTCGGACCGATACAGGTGCTTCTGGCCCCCAGCCTAGCTAGACATCAGCTTTCTCGATGCCCGGCACTTCGCTCTGTCCGGGGACATTTCTTTATTTTACTTCACACGAAAAATGACGGGAAGTACGACTGTAATCGCAGATTCGTTTTTATCTCATTTCCGTCAGCGTCTTCCGAGGTCTCTCTATTACTATGAAGGTTCTTTACCCGCGTCGCTTGGATTTTGATGAACATTTGACAGAAGTTTACTACTACTTACTACTACCAGCTCTGTGATATTTTCTAATGTTTTTACAGACTCATTAAAAAGACTTCCTTGTGTACCCGATATTTTAAATAAGTACATTTATGTCATTTTGCTGGAGGTTATGTCTCAATCAACTAGCCTCTATTTTGTTTAAATATGGTCCTATATTTTTGATATTTCAAAAATGAAGACTTCCAGCAGACGAAACATAATACTTAAAATGAGCAAACGAGTTAAGCTTAAGAGGTTTCCTTTATTTTTTAATATCCATTTAAATAAGTCTTCTACTATTCCAATTTAACTAATAATGTAACTTGAACCGTAGGTACCAGGCGAAATTGTATAGTTATCCTATTTTTATGTTGGACATCGTTTACATTTTCGACACTTCTGTGTTTACGTTATGTTTTCTCATCAGTTATATTTTCATTCGCTTTTCTATACATGTTATGTATCTATTTTCCTTTTAAAACATAAGTATAACATTCTCAATCAGTTTTTGACGAAACTTCACGTAAACGTTGACTGCGTTTGCGTGGATGACATCTCTCGAGTATTTTATCATTTAAATGAACAAATTGTGATAGTCACCATACTTTTTATCTAAGACGATAAATCTGATATGTTACTGAAACTATGATTTTTGTGTTTGATTAATAAAATATGAAGACAAATTTTTGCCATGTAGTGGACCAGGCTGACTAGCCAAAAATGGGTATAATAATAATAATTCAGTCACATTAATTACAAATTGTGAAAAAAATGCATATGCCAGAAAAGGAAAATATCCTTGTATGCATGTAACATAGCAATTATAGTAAACTGATACGTATGGTTGAATATAGTTTTTTTCACGAGTATCCTTTACGGTGAATGACAGCTGATTATCTAGTAATACGAGTTTCAAAATTCCCCATATCGGCAAAGCACACATAATTCTGACGGATCCGTCATTGCCAGGAAGACAGAGCTATATATGGTTTTAGTTACACGCTACAGATTCATTTTGTACTTGTACCTGCTAGAAGTTCTTTAATTTATTTCTGTACACCAGAGCCAGACTAGGTTAAGTCCATTTTTATCAAAAATGAGTTTAATATATTAAGCTTATGACAATATTGTGAATTTTCATTTGTTACAAGCAGCATCCATCTATCTGTAATAATAAGAAAGTTACGACTTTTTAACTCATATCAAGTCGTATTCAATACAATGCAAGAAAAATATTTCAAATACAATTATCTCAAAACTACTTATTTGGACTTAACGGACTGGCTCTGGGGTACAGATTTAGTATTGAATACAAAAAACAAAACGCTACAAACAAGTTTTACAAGATTTACACCCGATTCATTGTTGCCAACGTCGCAGACTAACACAAAAATCTCACTTGCTGATCAGCCGTTTATCACAGTAGACGTCAAAGCGTGATAGATACTCGTGAAATAGGATCTACATTGTATCGTGTATAGACCAATTTTGCAGTCGAATTGTTTTCTTGAGAGAATCAAATAACTTTGCTGGGTGACTTTTTTTAGTAAACATCAAAACTGCAATTCACTTTCATGGCCTGAAGGACATAAGAAAAAAGTCTGGTCGGATACGTAATATATTATATGCTGCATGAGGAACGCAAAAGTCAGGTCGTGCTAATATCGTACCAGGAGTATGTACACATACGCGTTTCCACGATCCTGGTTTCGTTTGTCGATATTGCCTACGCCTCCCCCCCCCTGTTAAAACTTGCAGCCCTTGGAACTTCAAAAGGCTTTAGGGGCAAGGACGCTTCCACAAAAAGTGACAGTTATCAACATCCTGAACTACCCACCCTAGATAAAAGTTTTTTTCTGAGAAAATTTGATAAGCGGATCTATTCAATTACGATCAATTAGCAAGTCTCGACTGGGATCGCGAAAATGTTGAGAGGCATGTTAATGACTAAAGTCGAATTTCCCGTAATATTCATAGTTGGAGTAAATACAAAAATTCGGCTGTGTGGTGTTTGATAAATGATTATGCACAGGGAAAATTTACTTTGAATAAAATTTGTTTTCGTATAGGATCCCAGAAATATACTAAGTGACATATAAATCCGAACACCCAGTTTAAATGGTTTTATTTTAATAAAAGTTGGTGAATGTATTTATCTTACTGTAAATAACAAGTGAAAAAATTTTCAGCCTTATCAGTTGGACATTCCGGTTTTTATACTGCCTTTTTTTAATTCACTAACGCTCTAAAAATGGATATTTCAGCCGCAGTAAAGAATCAACGTTGGCGGATTTTGGTTCTTGACATCCTTAACGATCGGTTACGATGCCTAGACTACGGAGACCTGTACGATTTCGTCAACTTAGTGGGTTTGATAGAGGCCGTATAGTGGGACTTCGGGAAGCTGGACTTTCTTTTCGGGCAATTGCAGTTAGAGTGCAAAGAAGTATAGACACTGTGGTTAGGTGTTGTCAGGCATGGCTTCGAGAAGGCCGAACGCAAAGAGCAAGGGGCACTGGACGCCGCCGTAGAACAACAGACCGTGAAGATTGCCGCCTAAGATTATTGGCCTTAAGGGACCGTTTCTCCACTACCAGGTCCATTGCAAATGAATGGTTTGCAGAACACGGAAGACCTATTGGCATGCGAAGTGTTTACCGACGAATGAGAAGTTTTGGCTTGTTTTCATACCGGCCACACTGGGTCCTCCCTTTAACTCGAGAACACCGACGTAATCGCCTTGAGTGGTGCAGACAACGGTCACTCTGGGATCAGGAATGGAACAGTATTGTCTTTAGTGACGAGTCTCGATTTTGTTTAGGCATGCACGATGGTCGTGGCAGGGTTAGAAGGCGACGTGGTGAAAGGAGGAATCCACATTTTTTTGTTGACATGTTCATCACACTGTTGGAGTTATGGTTTGGGGTGCTATAGCTTATGGTTCCAGGTCACCTTTAATCTTCATCAGAGGTAATATGAACGCGCAGCGTTATATCCACTAAGTTCTAGAACCCCATCTTTTACCCTATCTTGACACCCTGGCAGATCCAACTTTCCAACAATATAATGCCCGACCACATGTTGCAAGAGTCACAATAGACTTCTTTCAACATAATGATGTCACATTGTTACCATGGCCACCAAGATCTCCCGACTTATCCTCAATTAAGCACGTGTGGGATATGATGGGTAGGAGATTGCTCAATTTGCAACGTCCTCCTCAGACTCTAGAAGCACTTCGAGAGGAGTTGGTGGTTGCCTGGAATGAGATACCACAGGAGGACATTGACCACCTGATCAGAAGCATGCCTAGGCGCGTTGGAGAATGCGTAGCACATCAGGGTGCATCCACACATTATTAAAGGTCAAAGGGCTTTAAAGCAGTGCAATCATTTTGAAATTTTTATCATTTACTTATTATGCTTCATTAAGTACTTATACAAAATTTTATTAAAATAAAACCATTTAAACTGGGTGTTCGGATTTATATGTCACTTAGTATATTAAGGAAATTGCAAATTGAGAAGATACGCGATTGTACAATATAAATCTATGTTTAGCTAAATTATATTTTTATTATAATTTCTTATTATAAAATATATAGGTATACGATAAAATATATAACCTCATAGATAAAAAAACAGATATAATGTTCATATCTATTTAAGCAGAATATGTCAGGATCATTTCATTATAGAACTGTACCTTAACATCACATATATTTAATTAGTTTCTGCAAAAGCAACATGGTGATTCCAAAACATATAACTTGAAGTCATTCATATACTTCTAATCATTTGTTTTGGAGCCATCCTGCTCTCATAGACCATCATTATGGGTGTGATGCATGGTGTTTTTAATGAAATGACCTGAATGTGTGTTTCAAGTTGATGTCTAATCGCTACACTTTCACAACTTCTCCTGTCTGAAGACTCTGAAGATATTGCTTTCTGGCTTCCATATCATCGCAAGGCCTATTGTGAGCTGTCCAAACCGGTTCGCCAATGAAAAATCTTCTGGCTTTGATGTAATTCTGAAAAAAGCAAAGAAAACTATTGCTATTAATAAACTTTATGATAGATAGAAGCTTCTGGACACAACAGTATAGTCAAAATCACGAAAGTTGACTATTACGTCATAGCACAAATTGTACTGAAGTAATCAATGGACGTAAGTCGATGATAAAATCACGATGTCAGGAACATAATGACAACAAATTTTTATTATGATTTTGCGGAGTTAGGTTATTTCATTGATTATTTTTGTTTTCATTTTATTTCATGGTCTTGAGCGATACCGTAATAATAATTTTAGTGGGGTGTTTTTGTTTTGAAAAACACAGTTATGAGTAGAATTCCTTAAGGCGGGAACACCAAAGACCAAAGTATTATTCGAAAACAACCTAACCTGCTTTAACATAGCCTAACTATTCACCTTTCAAATATGATCGATCTTGAACATGAAAACATTGTCTATTTTTGTCGGATACATGCAAATTAGCAATACATTTTGTTTAGACAATAAAATTCTGTTTGTCTCTGTCTAACATATCCGAAACTTCATTAAAAATATAAACAAATCGCTGTCGTTTGTCTTTACTACAGACTAAAATGATGACGTCATCGTCATCTTTCGTGATTCCGACTATATATCTAATAACAGTTATACAGCAATGGTATATGACTAAATTGATGGCTATGTTGGGGAAGCCCAAAGGGGGATCTTGGGATTTACTCGAGCGCGGCAGATTAACATAAAGAGGGATATGATTAGAAATACTCATATAGGCAGTTCAAACAGGCAGCAGAGGTGGCGTAGTGGTAGATGTTGGGGTCTATTAATCAGTCACCGTGTGCAATGCGGGTTCGAATCCCTTCCCAAGAGAAATTTTTCTCTTGGCTATGGTTGCTGTGATTACCCGTAGGTGGAATACGGGCTCTAACTATCGAACGTGGAGGAACCGCCCGGCGGATCTTGTAGGCGGGGCCAGAATGTATGGCACACCTTCCCCTTTCTCCTGCATCCTCCTATAGCCGCTCGATACCCATGGGTGTATATTGCAAAAAAAAACTAAACAATGACGATAATGACATGTGGTTGTCACTTGTTTGTAGGATGCACTTTTTAAATAATGGAAAATAATATCATTGCATTTGAAGTCCTGAAAAAAAAGCATTTCAAATTTTGAGGTTAGACTTACGCACTATAGCGGCCACCTTATGAAGCGGAAAATAATTTCGAGTAACTTCACTTAGCCACTTTTATTGTAAGTTTACTAACTGACAGCTCTAGCTTGATTGGTTGGCGAGAATACAGCTGGCATACTTTATTAATGTCCCACTTCATACAAACCAGCAAATTATGATACCTCCAATTGGGCATATGCAATATCAATATATCTGATGCACTCCACCCTACATTCTGCAATCTAATCTTCTAAACCTTGTGCTGCTTGAGCAACTACCCATTTAGCATCTTGGGCTCCCCTACTATCAGAATGTAGCACTAACTTATTAACTGACCTTGTTGTCCAATGTGAAGCGATGATATATTCCACCAGGTAATATCAGCATGTCACCAGGTACAACCTCAACTCGAATCCACTTGTCATTTTTGTCCCTGACATCGAAGTAACCAGATCCCTCGACTACAAGTCTTATTTCTTCATCAGTGTGCAAGTGCTCTGTGTAAAACATTTTTAATTTCTCCTCATAGTTCGGAAGACATTCTTTAGAGCAGACCATCTCATCTTCATATGTGTAGCCCCTTTCTTCTTTGATTTTTTTTAGGTTGTCATCTTTATCCAATGCAGCTGGATTTAACTAAACAAGAAATAATCATTATTTGTCAATTGAAATTCTCCACTCAGTCACATGGAAGTGCTTTTGATATTCACACAAATAGCCTTGGATGAACAAAGCAACTAAACTCAGTTCAAATGCAAGATAAGAGTACCACAACATATATGTTCAATTATTGGTTGCTCAGTAACAAATGGTATATTAGTGAATTTGTAATAAATTGATTGCTTGGTCCAGCCTCATAACCATTATAGTGTGCAATCAGGTGCAGATATTGCAAACAAGGTATCATCAATGCAAGAAAGGCCAGAATATGATGTCCGTATAAAATGTTTCTTGTTTAGAGAATCGCATGCATAGTGCATGGCTGTGCCTACACTCATGTTGATGTTTAATTTTTAATTGTGCTTTTTGTCCTAGTTGTTCGTTTCACCCTGATCATCTTTGAATGAAATTTATAACCATATGCCAGGGAGCTTGGGGGTTCCTGAATGAAATATTTTCTATTTTTGCATATCCATAGAAGAAGCAGGCCAAGGGGAAAACTAACAGAGCATCTCAATATTTTGTGAAGCAAAGGAAAATTATCCAAAAGATTTTCAATACATATGTTTTTGGGGCAAAGGCAGTGCCATGCTCCTTGGGTAGGTATGCCACTAGAACACTTTCCTTTGTTTACTAATTATGAACATGCCTAACCTGTTGCTTGTACAACAAGTTTGTATAAAATAAGTATAAAATGTTTAACTAAAAACAATATAGCTGATATATTTAGGGTGACCTTTCCAGCTCACCTTGAAATATTCGCAGCCTGTTAGCCTCGTAAGATCTTCTATATTCACATATTCTGGAGGATTCTTTTGGTGTTCATTTCTTTGGTCACTGCGATCATCATCCATATACCATGCACGAACCATTTTGCTGTTTTCCACTATGACTGCCCCAATAAAAAAATGAGCCTGTGGTGATAATGGATTTGAATTAATAAAATTTCCACAAGGGATTCTGGATTCTGATTATCTTATCTACAGAGGCGGATCACACGACGCATTGCGAGTTGGTGGCAGGGGGACGTAAGGGCGAGTCGCAACGCCGGTGGTATGGGTCCCCAGAGTAAAAAAAGCAAAATTAGTGTTTCTAAAATCATGATGTTCCAGTACTACCATCACCCTGGGTCTCGTACGAACTTTGAGCTTCGGGCCCCAGATATACATCTAGGTCCGCCACTGCTGATCTAACTATTACACTAAAGATTAAACGCCTCAGAATTGGAAACAGATACGATGTAAAGTTACTTGATGCTTACTAGAGGAACATTTGACAATAAAAAGAAGAGAAGAATGTGAAAATCACTGGGAAATTCTCCACCTTTATTTTTCTTTTTTTTAATGTACCTAGATCAGTCTAGTGACAATTTACCTAAGTACAATTCGAAAAATTTAGTTAAAAAGGTACCTACCTTAGATTTTGGGAAAAGTTTCACTAGTAGTCAGTAGATGCCACATCTAAAACTAAAGCAGGAACCTGTGTCTGAGCTGTGAAGAGCTCACGCAATAAGTCTTTTGTAAAATAGATGGTGACTCGTTTTATACATGTGCTACCATCTGTTGTCAGAAGCATTAACTTAAAGGTACGTCATGGTAGGTGACTGCTGAAAGCTTCAGGTTTCAAATATATTTTGATTACCAACCAGTAGATGGCAGACTAAGCGTATACATGTGCTGCCATCGCCTGTTAAAATAATGAACTATTAGCGTGAGGTGTGACAATGACTATTCATATTTTGAAAGGAACTGCTTACCTTTCCTAACAGAGTTTCCCAACGACGCGTCGACTCTGATTTACGATATTGAATATAATAATAATTTGGCAGTAAATAACTTTAACACGTTCGCGGACAGTGCGGCTATAACCGTCATATTGTTTTCCCTAATATAGGACATGGCGGTTATAGCAGTCAAGTCTATTTCTTTTAATAAAGGCTTGAACCGTCACAAATTCCATGTAGATTGATGGATTAGCCAACTAAATGTCCTGCTGGAACATACCTACGCCAATCAGAAAAATGCCCCGTGAAAGGCGCATATTCAAACACGTGTACAATTTTATGCGTGTCTGTTCTTGTATTGTTTTGATGGCTAACGCCTATAGCCGTTTAAAATCGCATAAGTGCTCATTATTTGAAGAATAATTGACGTTCTGAGAGGTCGCTTTTAGGTTAGTTATTGTGTATGTGTTCGAAAAAGAATGTAAATCTGTGAGTATTTTATATTTTCTATTTCATTTTATTTGTTGCTGGTTCTGGAGAGGATAGCGACAGCGAAAGTGAAATGGAAGAAGTTGAGGGTGACGAAAATGGGAATGTACAAGAAAGCGAAGAAGCTCTCGACTCAACAGGTTTGTGGTACGAAGATGTAAAACCGATGCGGGTTTTTGGTTTCGATAGTAGCAAGTCAGGCCCGGTAAACGTCTACGCAAATTCTTCTCGTTTGGGCGTTTTCAAGAAAATGTTCACTGAAGATATACAGGGTGGCCCATAAGTCCTTTGAGCTGGAAAAAAAGGAATAAAACCAAGCTAGTTACATTATGAAGAATTATTATATTTTGTTATCATCTTTATTGAATGGGAATTTTGTTTTAAAAATCACATCGTCTAAATGCAATCCATTACGATCACGGCACTCATATAAACGACGTCTAAAATTGTCGATGACTGCGCGGCAAGTCAACACTGTAATGCTTGCCATTTCTCTTCGGATATTTTCTTTCAGGACATCAACTGATCGCGGAGTGGTGTCGTACACTTTACTCTTTAGGTAGCCCCATAAAAAGAAGTCCATTGGGGTCAAATCTGGACTACGTGGTGGCCAGGAAATGTCTCCTCTTCGAGAAATTACTTTGCTGGGAAAAAGTTGACAGACGACGGGCATAGAAGTGTTGGAGGTGTGGGCAGTTGCTCCGTCCTGTTGAAACCAGGTCTGCGTATTATAGCCTGGAAAATTCTGCAACGCTGGTGTCAAAAACTCTTCTATCATTGCTACATACCGCTCCGAAGTAACAGTTAATGCGCGACCTCTGTCGTCCTCAAAAAAATAAGGGCCTACGATGCCATGCGCTGACATAGCAGCCCAAACTGTAACTTTAGGGCTGTGTAAGGGCTTCTGATGCTTACGCCTTGGATTTTCGGGGCTCCGATAACGGCAATTTTGTTTATTTACATGCCCGCTTAAATGGAAGTGAGCCTCGTCCGAGAACAACACATTATTGAGCGAAGAAAATCGATTCAACATTTAATTTGCAAAGTTTAGTCTCTGAATAGCGTCATTATCTTTTAATTCCTGCTCTAACTGAATTTTGTAAGCGTGCAGACGTAAATCTTTCCTTAAAATCCGCTGTAAAGATGTTCTGGGTACGTTTGGTGCACTGGAACGCTTACGAGTAGACTGGGTAGGATTTTGACGAACAGACTGTGCCCCAATGTTGATGTTTTCTTCAATACGAGTTGTCCTTGGTCGACCCCACCGCTGTTTATCTAACGTCGAACCAGTCTCTTCGAACTTAGCAACCCAGTTCTTAATCGTTTGAGCTGTTGGACACTTTGTAAAATTGTGTAAATTGTGGTATTCTCGATATTTACGCCGCGCAATGGTTGCCGAATCATTATTTTGATAAAACGCCCGCACACAAAAAGCACGATCCGCTCCAGTGAAACACTCCATGGCGACTGAATTCCCAGACACTGAAGATACTGCCCCCACCTCGCCCGCGCCCCTCACGCTCACCCGTTAAATTTTATTCAAATTTGAAATTTCAAAGGACTTATGGACCACCCTGTATTTGATATGTTAGTAACGTCTACTAATATCTACGGAAAAAAGTTATGCGAATCCAATAGACCTTCTACTAGGCACAGACGTATGCTGAATTTTCGAGAAACTGACAAAACAGAAATGCCTAAATTTTTGGGTATTTACATACTACATACAGGTCCAAATAAAAGAGTCCAGTATAAGACATATGTTCAGCAGCAGCTGCTGGTACTATTATCCGATATTTTCTTATTCTATGTCTGGGCGTCGCTTTGAACAATTGCTAAGATGCTTTAGTTGCTACGAGAACGCAGACACAGATAAAGATGCGAAGAAGAACAAGTTGGAAAAAGTTTCTGGTTTAGTCAATTTAGTAATTGAAAACTTTCAAGAATCCAATACACCTTATGAAAAAATATCTTTGGACGAATCAATATTATTATTCCGTGGCAGGTTAAGTTTTCGCCAATATATTCCAAACAAAAAGGCTCGTTATGGAATATAATTTTTTGAATTGACGACTTCTGACGGTTATGTATTAAATCTAGAGATTTATCAGGATAAAACATACACAGATGAAGTTATGAAAAATACACCTCATTGTAAAAAGGCTAATGATTCTTTACTTAGACCTTGGACATCATATTTACATGGATAACTACTACAATTAGGTAGAGTTGTCCGAAGATTTATTGAGTCGCAAAACGAACACAACTGGGACACTTCGCAAAAAATGAAAGGGCAATCCAAAAGCAGTAGTCGATTGTAAGCTAAAAAAGGGAGAGTATGTATGGAGAAGATGTGGGAACATATATGTATGTCTCGAAATGGAAGGATAAGAGGGAGGTGCTTTTTATATCAACTGCTAACAATCCTGAACTAATAGAAGTTTCTAACAAATTTGGCCAACTGAAAATGAAACCCAAAGCAATTGCCGATTACAACGAGAACATGTCGGGCATAGATCGTTGCGACCAAAGGGTTCAATACTATTCTTCGCCTCGCAAAACCATGCGATGGTATAAGAAAATTTTATTCCATCTGTTGGATCTGTGTCTATGGAACTCTTATTATATTTACAAAAAATGTACCCCAAGGAGACGTTTCTGAATTTTAGAGATAATATAATTCAGAGTTTGCTTCAACTTCCAGCAAACGTTACTAATGGTGCTGATCTAATAAAAACTAGGACAGGCAGACCAAAGACTAGTGTCTTGCCTGAAACTGTTGAACCTGGTCCATCTCATCAAACGTCTAATCAGCACCGAGTAGTATTTCAACATTATCCGGAGAAAATACCTGCACCTGAAGGTTACAAAAGAAAAACTTATTTCCTACGTTGTAAGGAATGCTGGAAGAACAATGTTAGAAAAGAAACTTCTGTTAGATGTAAGGGGTGCCCCGATAAGCCTGCATTATAAAGCAATTGTTTTTTGTTAATCAGGTTATGTATTAAGTTTTTGTTGCTGTTTTTATGTGTATTCCTGATTTTATTCACTCATATTTTCACAGAAATGTATGCTTTCGTTTGGTTTTCATATACGGCTATAACCGTCACTTGCAAAATGGTTAAACTTGAACTATCTATATGCAAATGACGGGTATAACCGTCATTAAAAAAAATTGCAAAAATGTGTATTTTTATTTTAAAATTGCCCCAAAATAATATATCTACAGTCTAAAACTCAAATATTCTATTTAAATCATTGAATTGAGAAAGTGATTTTGCTGGAACCACGCATATCCTAAAACTGTCCGCGAACGTGTTAAAGGAAAAATAATTACTTCTATGTTCTGATCACAATTCACAAAATCCTAAAATAGAAAATTTTGAAAATTGTTCACAGACATGCTAAATATGCACATTTTGAGGTCTAACCAGGTTCTCACGGAGGCCGCGGCCACCCTAGCACCCTTCTGCAGGCGCCGATGTATAGATAATATGTACCTTATATTGCTTAGGGATACAGAGCAGTCATCAATAATTACATTTCATATTTTAACTCTTTGTCATACACAAGTTAATTTTTAACAGAAAGGTTATTAATTTACACACGAAGGGAGGTGATATTAAAGAATCGGATTTGGAAATAACCTGTATAAGTGGCTAGGCATATATGATCTTCTCTAACAAAGAAAAAAGTTCATTATCGTCGACTTGATCCAGTGAAGACTGTTATATATCAGACTTCTTTGAAACGCTCTGATATAAAACCAAACGTCTAAGCGCAGTAGGTAATTGATAAAAGTTGACAGTCACTTTGTTACTTTCAACTCTTTTTATATGGTAGAGTTAAGTTCATCCAAAAGGTATTCTCTAGTGCTTTATTGTTATGTTTTTTAAAACACAATAAATATCATTATACTACAAGCTACTAGTAACTGAATCCAGTGACCTGAGGAAGTTTTTTATAATAGACACTCAGCTTAAATGCTATAAATACTCTGTTCTAGGACATATCTTCGTAAAATATACAATACATAACTATACGCATGTCAACATATTCTAAGCTTTTGCTTTCTGTTCTGCAACGTCAAAGATTTTCACACCTTTTTCTTCATCTTTATCGTATCTATTTTCGAAAGCTCCATTATATAATTTCTTGACGTACTCCTTTCTGCATCTCAATTGGTCAGATGGCCTGACGTGTGCTTGGTATACTCCGTCTTTAAGGATTCGAACTCCCCTGTAGTTTCCCTGAAAAAGATGTTATTAGAATTTCAGCAAATATCATATATATTTACAGAGTTATCAAAATTGTGTGGTTTGCAACTGGCAGCATACATTTCAGAATGAGCTCATGTATGGACTGAAGTTGGAGTTTTATTATCTAAATAGAAATTTGCAATTTATAGCATCTTTGTTAATAGAGAATCACAGTTTTCTACTCCAAGGAAATGCTCATCCAGCTGTGAGAGTAAGTTTTCAAAATCCTTTTGGATGCCGTTGTAGGATGACAACTTCATATACCGATTCTTACATTCGTCAAATAATGTGCTTATACTGATGATATTATATAGTTAGGACTTGGCAAACTTAAACATAACTGTGAAAGCAACGTAATATTCTCCAAAATTTGTATTGAAAAGAAACATAAATACAGAGTGTCCCGCGAGGAAAGGGACAAAATTTTTCTACGTGTTCCTCAGGTCAATTCGAGTGGAAAAAGTCCGATGAACATGGGTCCGCAAATGCGTCCTTATCGAGATAATGATTTTGTTATTTTTAGGGTGCTAATGGTGGGAAAACCACAATACTGTTTGAAAGTTACTTTTACTTAACACAAAATTACTAGGTACAATGAAAATAACTATTCACAATAGTTGTTCAAAGAGTCCACCTTCACACTGTAAACATACATAGTCTAGCCGGTTTAATAATGTGACTGGAGGCTTTCCCAATAACAAGATGATTACTTCTTATGTCGTCAGCGACATCAGTAATTTTACGGAGCAGCTCAGGCCTGGTATGCGATTTCTCTGCATACACTAAGGACTTCATATGTCCCCACAAGTAATAATCCAAGGGATTTAAATCAAGCGAGCGGGGTGACCAAGAAACTGCGCCCCCTCGTCCAATCCAACGCCCAGGAATAGTGTTATTTAAATACTTTTTGCAAAGTTCAATCAAACTGACACAAATAACCCGTCAACAAACAAACAAGCACCAGCGTATTAATTGGGCAATACAACGTGACTATGGACTTTAATTATTGTAAACAGTTGTTTTCATACGAACAGTATTAAATTTTTTGTTAAATAAAAGCATGTTTCCAACAATATTGTGGTTTTCGCCCACTAAAAATAAAAGAATCATACAGGTATCTCGATAAGGTCGCATTTCGGACCTATAGTCAACGCCAAACAAAGTGGCGTGCACGTCATCAAAGTGGGTGTGTTGAAAAATTTACGTTGTTGCCAAACTTTTTGTAAAATAATAAAATTTATTATTTACATATCTAGGTTTGTAAGCAATATTAACCTCAAATGAGAACAAAAATAATAGTATAATAAAATTATAGATCTGTACTTGCATAATCATTAAGTATGACAATTATTGATCAGATGACACTATGAAACTACCATATTTAATTGATAGCTTAAAGGTACTGAATAAAAATCCAAATGGGGTCCTCCAAATTTTATGCATGGTATTTATTTTACAGAATTCATACAGAAAAATGCATTCTAAAATTAGGTAAGCTACTGGTGTAAGCTTTTCTGTACAATAAAGTTAGTCGGAGTTTCTTTCTTCAGCGCTGTCTGAATCTGAATCTTCATCACTCTCAAAGTTGATTATTAAAGGTTCGATGTCTGGTCGATCAAAAATTCGTTCTCTTTCATACCATTTAAAAATTTCTTGCTCAGTATGTCGAACACTATTTTTCCACATGTCTGGGGTAACCGTTTGTAGAGCCTCGTTCCACATATCCAAACAGTCTTTTTCACTGTTACCATCTCTACCAATATGTCTGTTATAGTAACCTTTTGCTATGCCCCAAATTAACTCAATAGGGTTAAATATACAATGGTAAGGAGGCAGACGAAGAACTTTGTGCCCATGTTGTTCCGCCAATTCATCAATCACGTATATTTTAGGTGGTTTGTTTCTAAAAAAGCAGTTATTTTAAGAATAGGAATAAACAAAAGAAATATAAACTGTCGACCAAAATATATATAATTAAGAAGCATTATGTACCGAGCAACAATACTCAATAGCTCTGTTTTAAACATTGTGTTTAAAAATGGTATGTTTTCATTTGTCAACCAGTCTTGGATATTTTTTTTTGTCCATGCATTGTTGGGCACTTTGTTCAATATCATGCTGTGATAAGGGGCGTTATCCAGTATAATCATAGATGGACTCTCCAATTTTTCTAATAACTGATGTTGAAACCATTTCAAAAAATTGTCCTGGTTCATCTCTCCATGGTAATCGCTCAATTTTGTTTTCGAAGAAAATATCGCTTCACTACCCTCAATAAACCCATTTTCATTTCCAGCATGTAATATAATGTATCTAAAATATATTAGTTTTAAATTTTATAGTGCAAATTGTGTAAAAGTACATACCTTTTACCATCTGTTTTAATAGCTTTCACGCTTTTTTGGTTTCCATTTTGCCAAGAGCGACCTATGGTCCCATTTTGAAATATCCAAGTTTCATCGAGGAAGACAAACTGGTATAAGGCCTCAACCTTGGCTTGATTGTATTACCTTAGAAATTCCACCCTTTTCAAAGCTATACTTGGTAGTTCCATGAGCCCTCGTCGCGGATTGTCCTTAAGCCACTTAAATCCAAGATCTCTAAGCAACCGCCTTAAAGACGTGGCACTACCATCAAATAATGCCCTATCTCTTAATCGAGACCATAAAGTTTGTATCGTAACTTGTTCTTCTGAAACCATGTGTAATATGACATTATAATTTAGTTAACAAATTAATGCAAATTTCTGATAAGTTATTATAATAAGATCTTACTTTTGTGATACATATTATAGATCACTTCTCGAATGGCACTTGTATCCAATGTCGCTGTGTTGGTTACACGTTTAATATAACTCCGCTTTTTCTTGGGCGATTCTAAATTTGCATCACTTTTCACACCCTCGGAAATACGACTAACTGTCCTTAAACTAATTTTTAAAGCAGCAGCAACACGCTACAAAAAATGAAATAAAATTTCACTATTATTAATATACATTACATATAATTATTGAACAGCATTTAAAGGCAACAAAGGCCCGTTGTTGTCCCTTTCTTGCTCAAAGTAGTGCATTAACGAGGCCACGAGTTCCTTACACCGACTATTTACCTGTTTGGGCATCTTTATATACCAAAATTGCCTTTATCTACTCGTAAAATGAATAATTTTGTTTTGAAACAAACAGTTGATGATTTACAGTATCCGGGGCCAAAGGATTTATAAAGATTTGAAATGCCACAAATTGATTCAGTGTCAAAATTAATACAAATGTCAGTTTCCAGTTTAAATAAGTTTCAAGGTGACAATGTGTCAACGCTGCGAAATCGGTTTAGTGCGTTTACATGTCGATAAGTGATTGGAGCGTTTGCAAAACATTTTATTTCGCATAATGCGTCTAAATTTATCAGAAAGCAACTTATGTGATATTTTAATAACAATGTTTATATGACTATTAACCATAATAAGAGAGTAATGACCATTTTACAATTTATATATCACATTAATATGAAACTGCAATAGAGCAATTGTTTGTGATAGAAACCTAGGCATTAGGTCGGGGAATTTTTATCGTGATGACGTGCACGCCACTTTGTTTGGCGTTGACTATATGTTCATATGACTTTTTCGACTCGAGTTGACCTGAGGAACACACAGAAAAATGTTGTCCCTTACCTCGCGAGACACATTGTAAACATAGCTTCCAAAAGGGTTTCCTCGATGAGAAAAAGTTTGCCGTTCGTAGTCCAAACGAAAAAGTTCGCGGCAGATTGTAACGGCGTTCGAGTGTGACGTAATTTTAGTCTGACGGTGTCAGTTTGACATGAAATGTATGGTCACGTCCTATCGGTACTCAGAATAAAAAAACTCAGCTGGTTCGTGAGACGTGTTTTTAACAACACATGAACAACAAGAATAACAGCAAACAACAAAAAATAAGCTTTTACTTAACAACTTTTAAAAACAACTAAAAACTTATAGACATTCATGTCCAATCGCAAAATCGCCGTTTTATAATTCTTAACCTAAAACAATAATGAAGTTCCTTCGTCCCAAGTTTTCAAATAGAAGCGTGATACACTTTTGTCTCTATTGCCGTTAAGGTGTAACACTCTTTTACTCAAAACCCGAGACGAAGAAGCTTCATTGTCATTTACAGGTTAAAAAATATGAAACGGCATACTTCCAATCAAAAGACATTCTTAGTTAACGGCTAATTAAAAGTTTGAATTAAAAAAGTTCCTTTTTGTTAATATGACTTCATACAACTACTACCTTTATGTTTAATACGATAATACGGTCGCTATATTATATTATTACGATAATGAGACATGCCGGTATAAATTGGCCCCCGCTAAATTTTGTATATTACTGTTTAGAAATAAATGTTCTATACAAAAGTTTTAGATTCTAAGATAAGGTTTTATGTGCAATATTTTTTTATATTCAAAATGTGTCGGGGATGTGTTATCGAATAAAGTTGTTTTTCTTTCGAACTGAACATCTTGTGTAATTTAAGCGAAAATGGTAGACGCTCTTTTCCTGATTGTAGTTTTTCGTACTGCAATCATTTTGGTCAAAAACTTAGTTTTTGTGTGTCATTTATTCTTGTGTATCTGAGTTCAAACCACTGTGCATCTAGCCTCATATGCAATCGAGCATAACGACGTATACATAAATGACACATATGGTTTACGTTTTTGACTAAAATAATGAAAATAATCATAATATACAGGGTTTCCGCAAAGTTGGGGTTTTCCTTTACACGACGTTTAGACATTGAGAAAACAAGCGAATTTTCTTAGTAGCATGTACACCAATGGCTTAAGAGAACCGCGATATTGGGCTCCGTAAACTCAATCAAACCTGAACCAAACCAAAGCCGGTCCTCTCCTATCCCTCGATCACGTTCATAGCGTCAGCGCCAGAATACAGTTATACGACGTATGACTACGATGTAAATACGGATTTTACGACAGAGCCGTACTTGGAATCAATTCAATTGAACAGTGAGTACTTTTTCATTTATTTTTTTTAATTGTTCGCAACTTTGTTATATCAAGCGTGGTGTGACTGAAAAGGAAAACACTAACTTTGCGGACACCCTGTATTTAGAACCAGAAAAAAGCGACTCATTTTCACTAATAGTGTACAGGGTCTTCCATTTGAAACATTGTTTATTGTCAAGGTAATAAAACGTGTATACTCAACTTCAGCTCAATTAGTCAAGGTTAAAAGTCTCAAAATTCAGTTTCAGAATTTATCTTACATATACTAACAATACTAACAGGTCAAGCTAAATAA